ATTATGCGAAATTATATAATAGCCCATATCCTTCGAACAAAAATACTAAATATCTCCCTTAATTATTATCATCTTAATTCTAAAATATTTTTTATACATGATAAAATAACTTTTTCAAAATATTATGGATATAATTACTTCCCAAATTTTCACCTACAGTTGCCCAAATATTTATATGTAATTATAATTTTTATAATTATATAAAATCATATAAATAATGTTTATATGAACAAAAATGATATAAAAAGAACAATAATGAAAGTTTAAGAAAATTATCATATCTTAACTTATAGTGAGAGATTTGCGGGACAAATAAGATTTGGAGAAAATATAGTATATAATTTCAGAATTTGTAGTTAATTAAAAATTAATAATATACTAATATTTTTATTTTATTTTTATATTTAAAAATTATTTCTGTAAAATACTTAAAAATGACGGTTCAAGATATTTTATTAATGTAATATAACATCAGTTATGTACATTATAAAAAAGGATAATTAAAGTTGTTGGATAGGTGTTAATGGGATTGTAATTTTTTATTTTGATGACAAATTTAGTGGTGTAAAATAATGGTCAAATTGGTTAAACACTAGATACTTACCACTTTATATCTTTATGTGAAGAGTGTTTTCTACCAAAATATGTTTGCAAGCAGAACATCATTAACTTGTTAATAATTTATTTTCTTTTGCAAACTTCCTTATGAACTAAAAAAAAGAATTAATTCGAAGTTTCTCCTTTATCAAATATTAACTTGGGATTAATCAAATGTTTACATCATATAACTTATATTTTCTCCTTTTTCTTTCTCTCTCTCTCTCTCTCTTTTACTACAAATAAACAAAATAAAAGACTATTAAGAAATTTAGAGCTTAATAAGATAGTGCTAAATAATATTACAACTATTTAAATATAACAAGATATGGAGTTTCTTAGGGAGTTAAGTTAAAATAACGAAATCCAAAGGACTATCATGCACTAACAAAGCCAAGTAATCAATACAAGTGTTGCATTTCCTGTAAATATGAGATATTTAAATCTTCTACTCAAGTCTAAGCATGATCCTAAACTAATTTTTTTACATTTATAATAGAGATACAACATAGAGGGAGTCAACTTTCACAATGAGCCACTTAAATCTTTGTACGTTAGTTTCCATGTACCTAAGGGATGGTATATGAAACCACGAATCTTGAGCCAAACAAGTGAATCGTTTTGCGACGTTGCTAATATTTAATTGTTTTGTGTAATTTTCTATCACAGTATATTAATTAATCTTATCTCTTTATTTTTTTATTATGTCCTAATATGTATAGGTGTAAATTCTTCGTCAGTAGAGAAATGAGGGTATACTCTTGAATCATCATCTTTTCTCATAGAAATAGGTAACTCGTACCCTCCATCAAGAAAAAAATCAGTATCTCCAGGTTGTTGTTGCACTACGAGAACTGAAAAATAGAAGTCTGAAGAAGCAAGCAAATCCCCTATTATCCCAAGTTCAGGAAACTCACTCCACTCTGTTAGTCCTAATAAAAGAGGAGACTCAGGGTCATGGTGTCTACCCACCATTACCAAATCATAACCATGTCCTAACGAATTAACAACATGAGTTGTATCCACCCCATGTCTCACAAACTCTTCTTTGTAAATGAATTTTTCTTTACTTATCCCCATATTCTTTAACTCGTTAATCATCTGGCTTTCTAAGGTATCTTTTTCGTGGTCATAATTTTTATGCTTGAAATGAACCACTGTTATGCTAACTTTTGGGTGCTCCACCATTCGTCTGCAAAAAGCAAGAGCCTCAAGATCATCTACACCACCTAGTAGAAGTAAGGCTATGCAATAAAGCTCGGGTCCTATAAAGATTGATCGACTATTAGAGACATGTCCTCGGTCAATGAGAACACCAACAGAACATGGTGCTTTATCTAAGACATTTTTGTTAATGTTTCTAATGGTAGACATTGAAGATTCAACATTTCCATCAATGGCAAAACTTTTATGAAACGGGACAATAACAATTGTTGCTTTTTTGTCCAAAGCCATTGTGCATATATCGTCGTGCATGCTAGCATATGGGGCAATTGCAGTAAAATGTTGTGCCATAACACTACCTTGGTGTTGTTGTTCGAAGTGTAAAAAAGCTCTAACAATATGATCAGATCGGTTGGAGTTGGAGTTGAGCTTGTTTAGGTGGTGGTGAGGGACAAGAATGGCAGAGGCTCGACCTTTGAGATCCATGAGGTGCAGAACAAAAACAGCAATAGGGCTGTATCGCGTTGGGTTTGAGGCTTCAAGGAGATTTATAATGGTCGGAACATTATCCGCATTATGGATACAAACCATCATCCGAAGTTGGACATTTCTTTGATGTGTATGTAACATAGTCCTTCTGCTCTTAGCCTTATATCTCTTTGATGGATCATATAAATATACAATCATGGGTCTTGTAATTCCAGTTACAAATAACATTGACAAGATTAGTAGATTAAAAGTCTCTGAATTTACTACCTGCAAAATACAAAAAAAAAAAAAAAACTTACTGTAAATAATTATTTATTCACAAATCATAGTTCAATAATTATAAATATTTATTTAATTAAATCATAAAATAAAATAATATACATAGCTTACTTTATATTAAAAAAAAACTATGTAGATAATATTAATGCTTAACATATTTGGAATCCTGCCTTATTTTAGAAAAATAATATATGAATTGTACCATATTTCAACAATATTACTCCCTCTCCCTTTAAAGTAACACGCATAGTGTTAGTAGTATATTAATAGCCCTTTTTTCTTAGAAAATTATTAAATAATCCCTCCTCCCTTTCTCAAATTACTAAATACTCCCACTTTATTTGGAAAAATACTAGGGACATCCTCTTTTATCTCTTTTTTTTTTTTTTTTTTTTTTCTAAAAAATACTGGATCGTTTATTTTTATATTGAAGCTGTGAATACATATATACACACACAAATAAAACAAAACTTCGTCTTAATTATTATCCCTCTAATTATTTTAATTAAAAACACATAATATAATTAAACAAAATAAAAAACATATCCAATCTCTTATTTTTTCTATAGTTTTTCTTCCGTATATATTTTTTTGAATAAATTTATAAAAAAAACTCTTAGTAATAAAGATAATTAAAAAATGATACGAAATTTAATCATTATGTTCGAAATAAAAAGTTGAAAAAAAGGATTAACATTTTTATAGTACTTAAAAAGTACAAATTAAGATTTATTGACACTGTTTTTTCCTCAACCACCCTCCCCCTTAAACATCGTGGTTCCATCACTGCATATATATGTATATGATGTATAGTTATATAATACAGTATAAGAGGTTGTTTACGCGTGTGAGTGTGTGTGTGTGGGTAGGAACAGAGGAACGAGATGACATACCTTGGAATCCTTGAACATGATAAAAACGGAAACCTCGATGACTCCTTTACTACACATGATGAGGGCAAGAGAAAAAGCTTCTGAAAATGGCATTTGGCAGTAGAGAGCTGGGCCAAGCGTGCCTGTTAACTTTCCAATATATCCCAAAAATATGGTCACTATTATTACCCATGGATGTTTTTCCCCCACTACAAATAAATTTGTTCGTAACCCACCGATCGCTATGAATGCTGGAAGCAACAATCCGGTAGCCACCGTGTCAAGCTTGTGTATTAAAGCTGAACCAATTGGTGGTCCATCCGGTAGAGCTATACCTAACCAGAATGCACCAAACGCAGCATACAGCCCAAGTACCTCAGACAAAAGAGACGTTGTTAGCATCACCACAAATATCATAAAGAAAGGAATCTCTTCTTTAGATTTTGCTTTTGGATTTCGCTTCGTTGACCATATGACAAATGGTCTTATCACAAACACAATGCTAAGCATGAATATCGCATTGCATGACACAGCATAAAATGACACAATTTTTGAGTCTCGACTAGCCACACGAGAGATAAGCGTCATTATCCACCCACAAATGTCACAAACCATGGATGTCTTTGTGGCTAATCGCCCAAGTTCAGAGTTGAGAATGTTCAGATCCGTTAACAGACTTGTTATGACAGCAAATGAAGTAATTGAATTCAATGCCACAACATAACGGAGGGAAGTTACCAAGTCATTTGGTATCTCGCCATATCCATAAACCATGCTTGCATAGGAGATGGAGCTGAATAGAAACGGCACAATAAAACTCATGCAGCCTATTAACATGGCGTTGTTGCCAGCTTGTCTTAAAATGGATGCATCAACTTTTACTCCCAAGAGGAATAGATGTATCAATAATCCGAAATTTGAAACTGTTTGAAGTACAATTTTGCTTTGTGCTGGAAGGAATTTCTCCATGTATCCAATATTTCGACCAAACAATGATGGCCCCAAAATTAAACCAGCCTGGTGCATGTATAAATTCAAATTAAAAATTATCCATGATCAATCATACA